GGAAATTTCAAGACAGGCCAACATTCAGGCTTTGATGTGGGTACTGTTGACCACTTTTAGCCAGATATATAAGGAGCAGAAAGCAGAATAGAAAGCGTGAAAGACTTTCATTTTGGTCCAGAAAGAACCACATTAAAGTTGGGGCCAAAAAAGGTGTGATTGGGGCCAAGAGATAAGTGCCATTAAAAAGAAATAAAGTATCATACTCTGAACTGGGACAAGAAGAAAGATGCGTTTAGGGTACCACAGAAATCAGCAAGACTCCAGCAATTGCAGGCTCAAAGGTGCAGAAAGTGTAAACCCTTCATTTGAAAAGAGTCCCCTGTTCAAAAAGGGAATCTTGGGGAATTGATCCCCTAGGGTTTATTTCACTGTGCTTAGCCACCCAGGCACTCAGAAGCTTCTGCAGTCATGGTCCAGCTTGGCTACTGCTCAAGCTGGACGCAGAACTTGGTGTCATCCATGCAATGTTGTTTTTAAAGGAAAGAAAATGCAAGAGTTATGGGGTCATGGAGGTTTCCACCAAGACTCCGAAGGAAGGTTCAGGAGGTCAGGCAAATATGTATGAGAGGAACAGCATCTCTGCCAGAACTCTCTGAGTGGGCAATGTATGAAGCCGTAGGAATGAAGTTGAAGGTGCAGTGGAGACTTCTAGAAGATGGAGATGCCAGGACTATGCAAATCTGCTAAGGAAATCTACAGGCTGCAAGTAAAGCGAGCTCAAGAGAGAGGCCATAAAGGTGGAAACTAGAAAGGTCATAGGTGCAGGGCCGCCCAAGCCCACTGGAGCTCACATCTTGCCACTATATGGGTCAGATGCTGGACATAATGTGATGGCATTTAATGTTTGCCCTACTGGGTGTTGGTCTTACTTTGGTCCTGTTCCTTTTTATTCCTCTATTTCTTCCTTCTGTAGTGAGAATATTTACCTTGTACCATTGTATGTTGGAAGTATTTAAGTTTCTTCTCGATTTTTAAAGGGTCTCACAGCAAAGAGTTTGATTGAATCTCGGAGGAAACCTTGGACTTGGACTTTTTAGCATGCTGGAACTGTTGAGCCTTTGAAGGAGCAATTTGTGAGTTTTTGGTTGTATGCAGGATAGTTACATGTTAGATGATGTTTTCTGTTGCGGGAACACAATACCTAAGCTACACAGCTCAGAGGAGAAGAGATTTAAGTTAGCTCACAATTTTGGAGGGTTCTGTCTATGATCAGCTGGCTCCAGAGCAGGAATGTCGTGGCAGAAGGGCATGGTGGAACAGAACTGCTAAGTTCATGGTCACAGAGCAGAACAGTGCCAGAGAGGGAAACGCCAGAGACCAGATCTAGTACCAAAGTCACGGCTCCTTGATCCACCCATTTGGGAAATGTGTTTTATTGACCTGCTTCACAGCTCCCAAGTCAAAGGAGATGACAGCCCAGCTTAACTGTCACAGCTTCTTATTGTTTTTATTTGGACATTAAGTGGTGATTTGAGGAGATAGGATTAGATGTCAAGGGAACAAGTGTGGACTCATGCTGGTTAATCTTTTTATTTGGGGGCTCCTGGGGGTTGAACCCAGGTACACTGTACTGCTGAACTATATCCCAAGTCCCTCCTTTTTAAAAATTTTGAGATAGGGTCTCACTAAGTTACCTAGATGGAACAAGAACTTGCAATTCTCTTGCCTTAGCTTCCCGCAGTGTTGAAATTACAAGTGTGTATCTCTGGGTCCAGCTCCAGTTAATCTTGATTGGCAACTTGACTAGAAAAAGAGTTTCCTAGAGAACTGCTGCATGGGAGGTCCCACCATGTAGGACGCAAGGCCCATGGAGAAAGTGGGTGATAGGGACATAACCAGGATGATATTTGGTCCCTGCTCCTTGTGAGGCTCTTTCTGCTACCTGCTTCATGGATGCCCTGACATGAGCAGTTTTGCTCCCCTATGCCCTTCTGCCACAACGTTTCTGGCTTGGAGCTAGGAAACCATGGACTGAACCCTCTGAAACTGTTTTTGGAGTAGATGGATTTTAAACAGGGCTTTGGAAAAAGGACACAGAAGGTTACAGATACAGGAAAAAATAGTGGCTAGATTTGATGATAATAGAAGTGAAGTAGAGGGGGCTGGGAATATAGCTTAGGGGCAAAAGCGCCTGCCTGGCAAGCATGAGATCCTGAGTTCAATTCCCGGTACTAAAAAAAAAAAAAAAAGTGAAGTAGAAAGTGGAGATTTGGGGGCTTAAATATGCCTATGCTGTCCAGAAGTGATATAAAAAAAGAAGCTGTGTTTCTTCCTTTCTCATATGTATGTGTGCACATAATTTTAAATGGAGGTTGCATAGTGGATTCGACTTCGGGTACAGAAGTACATGAAAGACTTATCATGCATGACTTTTAAACCAACAATCAAGATAGATAGCTATGTAATTGTCCATGAAGTAAAAAAAAAATACTGTATGCTCCAGTAAAATTACAGTTGACTTATGCCTAATATAGCCTAGAAAGTCAAAGACCAAGTTTTAGTTCAGGGGGCTGGGGATTTGGCTCAGCGGCAAAAAGCGCCTGCCTGGTAAGCGCAAGGTCGTGAGTTCAGTTCCCTGTACCGGAGAAAAACCAAAAAAAAAAAAAAAAGTTTTAGTTCATTTGAATGGGTGTGTCCAAGTTCCTTTGAACTTGGTACATGTGATGTGCACCAAAACATCTACTGCCCAGCATGTTTGCAGGAAATTATTTCAAAAAGAAACTTCCAGAATCATAGCATTTTAGTTTGGGAAGAGACGTTAGAAGACATATCAGTCACTATTGCTCAAAATATATTTGCTAATCTGTTTTTTTTTTGTTGTTGTTAAAACCTACAATCTTACTAATACTTGAAATTCATCCCTCAACCCAGTGAATTCTTGGGATTTGAGACTCTGTAGTTTTCATAAAGTATCCAAATGATTCTATGCACTCAAATGTTAAAAACCGAACAATGCAACCCAAACTGCTCATTTTATAGATTAGGGAAACAAAGATCTAAGATGTCAAGAGATTCTTTCAAGTGAGACCAATGTAGCTGGTCCAATCCCACCTATTAAAACAAAGTGAAAAAACCCGAACAACAAAACAAACCCACATCCTGGAAAGCTGGTATTATGGAGAAAATAGAAAGGACATTTATTTTTCAAAGTAACAGCTGAGGAGCAGCACAGGACTTCAGTGAAAACATGCTGTTTGTGTGTGTAGTTGCTAGTCCATGTGCCTGGCCTAGCCACAAAGCAGTGTGGTCACCGTAAACTGCTAACATGAAAATCTTAATCGTCTACTTCTGAAGTTATTGGTTTTAGCTATTCTAGTTTCTTTTCTTCTAGATTTTCAAGGTTGTGTTTTTGGGGATGATTTTAGAAATATAATTATAACCCTGGTTTTAAATTTTTAGACCGCAAAATTCAACACAGGCTGGTTGTAGTGGAAAATATAGTTCTTAGTTCTGCTTACACTGACGAAGAAAATGGTTAGATCCGAATCACTTCAACCAGTGGTGGTGTTTATAGTGCCTCTAGGAAATGACAGCCCCCCACCCCCGCAAAAAAATCCAAGGACGGTTTGTGTTGCTGTGGGAATAAGGACAGTCAGGCGGGTTGAAGCAGCCTTACCACCCTGTGGTCTGTGCTTTGATGTTTTTGATCCAACAAAATAATTTAAACCCCTGGATTCTTTTCTGGGTATTTTTTTTTTTTTTTTCCCACTGCAATACATCCTCAGACAGGTGGAGAAAGAGGAAGCTCAGGAAAAATGTCTAATACGGAAAAATGTCTAATACTGAAAAATGCTCACCTGGTACCCGCTTCCCTTGTTGGTTGCAATGTCCAGCGGATTATTTATTTATTAGATTTGTGCTGATCCAAATGACAACCTCTTTAGACTGATATCTGATCCACATGTGGCTTCAGGAATACACATGCTGGCTGACAGTTAAAGCTGTGAATTTTATAATTTCACAATAAACATTGTAGGGAATGGAGGCGCTATTTACCATAATCATTTTTCTTTCTACAGCACGATTTAATCTAGTGCCAAACTAAATCCTTTGTTTAAAACATCAGTCTGGTTGTATTTTAAAAAATTTTACAGGGTGTTACAGAAGAGGGATGGAGGGCACTGCCAAAGGACACTGGCTTATCTGCCCCGCCCCAATCCAGGGATGCGCATAAACAAAATGAAAGACAGCATCTGCAAATTGGTAGAAAGCATTTTTCTCCCAAATCTCTCAATCAAAGCACACAGTGTTCTGATTTCTAGCCAGGCCTTGCTATAAATGAAACCTCCCCGCTTGGGTTTGTTTGGACTAATGGTCCAGGGATGCATTAGGGAGGGAGGCCAAGCGGCTGCTGTGACTTCTTCCTTTTTTTTTTTTTTTCTTCCTGGAATGTTCTCTAACTCTTCAGGCATCAAGATGGAAACCCTGGCCGGCTTGGAATAGATGTTACTTTAAAAGGCTCCATAGCAACCCAAGGACTTTTTTCTTTTCTTTCTTTCTTT